CCCCTCTTGTCTAAATGAAACTTTGTATCCTTTGATGAACCCCTCCCCAGTTCCCCCCACCTCCAACTATGCAGGCCTCTGATAACCACACCCCTACTGTACTGATTTGGGATTCACAAGTGGGCTTTTTGTGTCCTACACATGAGTGAGATCACGTGGTATTTGTCCTTCTGTGCCTGCCTTATTTCACTGAACATAACATCCTCTGGGTTCACACATGTTGACACAGATGACAAGATTTCCTTCTTTTCTGTGGTTGTATAGTATTCCGTGGTGCATGTATAAGGTTGCATTTGCTTTATTCATTCATCCCTCAATGGGCGCTTACATTGTTTCCATATCTTCACTGTTGTGAATGATGCTGGAATGAACGTGGGTGCGCAAATCTCTTTGATACACTGATTGCATTTTCTTTGGATATACATAGACAGTAGGGGGATTGCTGGATCATATGGTAGTTCTAGTTTTAAGTTTTTGAAGAATATCCACACTGCTTTCCATAATAACTATACTAATTTACATTCCCACCAGCCTTTTCTCCACATCCTTGCAAACACTTTTCTTTCTCATAACAGCCATTGAAACATATTCGAGGCGCTGTCTCATCATGGTTTTTAATTTGCATTGCCCTGATGATTAGTGAAGTTGAGCATGTTTTTCATATACTGTCACTCCTTTGTTCGTCTTCTTTTGAGAAATGTCTTTTCAGTCCTTTGCCCGTTTTTAAAATCTGGTTATTTATTTTCTTGCTATTGAGTTCCTTATGTATTTTGGGTCTTGACTATTAGTATATGCGTAGGTATTCCCATGCAGTAGGAGCTCATATTAGCCAGTCTTGTTAACAACCTTTTAATTGTCAGCACTTAGAGTAGTCCTAATATGGGAGGAGCTTAGTGGTGACTGACTGCTGTGAAGACCCTTACGGGGTCTTGTGTCTGCAGAGGAAGCAAACATCTAAACAAACTACACCTTACCCCACCTGTGAAGGAGAGACTGGTGGCTGCTCTGCTGTGCATTCCTCTTCCTGATCTCCCTCTGTGTGTCACACAATGCTCTCATCTACACCAAAGTGTCACTTCATGTATCAGGGCGCCCCCCTTCCATTTGCTGGCAATTTTATTCTTTCCAAATGTGACTGTTTAAAGGACAGAATCTTTGCCGGGCATATTGTCTACACCTTCTATAATTTCCACAAAACCCTATCTCTTTCTACTAGAATTCTGTGGACCACTGCCCTGAGCCTGCCCAATTTTATTCCCTTTCTGTTGCTGCTGTTACAGTAAGATGTTTTGGGTTATTTTAAATTCTGTTCCTGTTGTTAAAAAGAGTAATTTCCCATTTTAAGGTGGAAATGCAGATGCCTTTATACCTAGACCACTTGAGGGCTGGAGCCTAGGGAGTTTTCTTCTAAATCTTTCCAAGCTCTAAACCCTGTGGTCAACTGTCCTCAAAATCTGCCATTGACCTGTCACCAGAAATTTTGCTGGGCAGCTTTCTAATGCAGTTTTCTCTCTCTAAGCCATGGTTTCTCAACTGCAGCTATGGCAATGTTTGGGATAGTTCTTTGTTGTGAGGGGACTGCCCTGTGTATGGTAAGATGTTTAACAGACTCCTTGGCCTCTGTCCACTGAATTGCACCAGAAACTGTCTAGTTTTGACAACTAAAAATGTCTTCAGATATTTTTGCCAAATGTCTTCCCTGAGGGGGCCAAATCACCCCTGTTGAGAACGACTAGTCTAAATAGTAAACATGTGAACGTAAATTGACAAGTTAGGGAATGTGTTGACAGGCAAAGTAAAAACATTCCTGATAATAACAGCAGACGCTTATAGAGCACTTGTGCAGCCAGGCACCGTTCTAAGAGCTCTTTTCATGTAAGTTACCAAGCCTATAGGGTCATATACCTTTGTATCATTATTACCCACACTTCACAGAGGAGGAAACTGAGGCACAGAGCCGTCATAGAGCCCATCCAAAGTCATGTAGCTCTTAAATGTCAGATAAAGAATTAAGACCCAGGCAATGGGACCCTGGGGTCTCTGATTTGAATTCACTTTCAACAAAAATTTGTTGGAATAGATATCTTCATGGCACAGCATATTGCCTCTTGTAGGTGGTTAGTAAATGTTTAAATGAATAAACAAATGAGTATCAATAAAATCCTGGAAATTATTTAACATTTGCCTCAATATCAAATAGATCTCTTAGTTAATTTAAACATAAAAATGCACTTTCCTTCGGATATAACCAACTAAGTAATATTATTAGAGTAAAGAAGAGGATCTCAATATTTTTAAGTGTATGCACAGGAATCTCTTGGAAAGGGTTTGCCAAGGTGACCTCTAAAATCCTTTCTACTCTGAGCTTCTGGTTGTATGCTAGCACAGTTTTACAAAGTATCAGAGCGAAGATTAGCCAAAAATGAACAAAATACCATTTTACTAATGAGATTAAGCACAGCATCTGCTCTTGACCTAATAATAAGGAAAGGCTGAATTCATTCCCCCTCCTAAACGAGGTATGTGTTCTGACGAGGGATGAGGCACGGCGAGATAGTCTGAAAACAAGTTCAGGTCTTATAAAAAATTAAACGCCGTTAAGTAACGGGAAGCCACTTTAGCTGATCAATCTTCAGGCTTCCATAGTTAGCTTCCTATGACAGGTAAGAGGGCTGGGCTCTGCGTGTTACAAGTGCATTACTTCTGATTTATATCTAAGTAGGAAGTCTGGATTTTATAAGATGCTACAATTTCACTTTATTTATATGTGCCTATATGTGCACAAATATATATGGATATATTCAAAAAGAAATTCAGTATATCTATTTCTATTTTTCTAGTTCTGCTGAAACTTTAGATAATATATAACATATAATATTAATGAATATTCGAGCAATAAGAAAAAGAGAAACTATAATGTTTGAGAGAAAGCTTTACATCTTTAAATAAATACATGAGAAATATGTATTATTAGAATGGTTATAGTTTGAAGGGGACATGTTGCAGATGTTGAAATTGCTTAAGTATGGAGAAGTGTGTACCCTGCTGGAGTTGTGGAACCATCCAGATTCTGACCCCTGGAGTCCTCAGACCATGGGCTCTGCCCTAAACATATTTTTCATGTACCTGGATTTAAAAAAAAAAAAAAAAAAAGGTGGCTGACATGACTAGAAAGTCAATACAAGAATTTGGTCCTAAAACAGTGCCTTTTCCTTTAAAATGGTCATATCATCAAGTAGTTTATTCTTCCCCCAAAATCTGGCACCAGTTTTTGTCCCTTTATGAGATTAACAATATTGTATAATATATATTCAACACGTTTAAAAAGACTCTTTTATAAGATTTAGAGTTTAGCTATTATTTTATGTGATACCTACTTTCTGGAAGTGGGAACATATGCATGACCATAGCTAAATGGCTGTTCTTTCTAATTGGCTTCTAACTGGTCTTAGATGCTACTCTAGATTTCATTCATAGTTGTGGTAATAAGCTTTGTTACAATGGAGACACATTGGGGTTTAGCCTTACTATACATTAAGGAAGAATGAAAGTAAGAAGTCCTGTATGTTCTGCTCATTGAATCCAAAAAGCATAACGTCTGAGAGATGCATGAATTATAAGAACCAAATCCAGATGGATGGATATCCTTATTTGTGGTAAATTTCCATTACTCATTAATAATCTTCTCAGATACAGAACTATGCAGATGGGGGTGAAAGGTGAATTTTAAGTCATGAACTATATTATGAATTGTTGGAGAAAATTCTTTTGATGCTGGAGATAAATTACACACTTCTATATGAAATAATTATGAAAAGAGAAACATTCAAATCAGTGTTGCTGTGATGAAATTATCATTATGACCCAAGTGCAAATATATCATTTTTCCTATGTGTGAGGAATAGAATATTTATTTGAAAAGTAACTGCTACTGATTTCAGAAAAGAGTTTTTTGAGTACTGGTTGTTGGTGATCATTCCTTTTTGATTTTAGTTAACACTCTGCTGCATTTTCTCCTCCGAAAGTGAAGAGTGAAAATTAGATCAATACTATTCAGAATAAAGCACTCGGAAAATGAACCAGTGAGAACTAAAATGATATGTTCACATTTCCAGTCTCCTAAAATAAACTTCAACATTTAGACACTGGAGTTTTGGGACTATTTTATGGATTTTCTATAATTTTAAAAATTCTCTTCCTAAGGACATAGTATTCTTAAAGGTCTTCATGAAAGTTGGCAGGGAGAGGAAACCATGTCTAAATAAGTTTTTTGCTTCTGGTTATTTTATTAGAATTATACAACTTGGTGGTAAAAAGAGTTGAAATTTAAGGAATATTTTTTCTTTCTGCTTTAGTTACCTGATATCTCCAGTTTCAACAAGTACATAAATTTGGGAGTTACTAATAGAAATTTTTATAATTATGTAGATTTCCTATGTAAAATAGTTATTTTAATGCAATGATAACCTCTTAGCTCACAATATACTCTTCCATGTATAGAAATTTTGTTGAGAATTTGAGGCAGTGTCAGTTTTCAGAGTATTATTGAATACATGTAACACGCTAGTATTTCTTAACAAAAGACTTTAGTGTTCCCAATTGTGTTTCGAATAATTTCTGCTAAGTTCTGAAGTTATACAGTCTAAATATTTGGAAGAATTATGGTAACTCACTATTTCTCACAGGTAAAACCCATGAAATTAACTTATTCAAATAGATTCAGGATTTTTTTTTCCTATAATTTTAATGTTATCATCTACTTTCTGATAGCTTGAGAATGTAGTTATATCTTTCCCCAAAACTTAAATCGAGGTTAGCTCTCACAGACAAGACTTCAGATTGTTTTGTTTTTGTTTTTCCCTAGCGACAAAGTGCATGTGACAGCTTGCCATCGTGGTTATTGTGGTTCATTTCATTAAGCTTCTTGTTCTATCTGCTTTCTTGAGACTTGAGAAACAGAATTTTTCTGAGTGATTGTACCATATTGTTCCAAATATAAGGCTACCCAGAATAGAAGGCAACCTCCAACTAGAAACAGCTCAAATATGGAGAAAGGCTGGGGGCCCAGAGCCCAGCGGGTGTTGCAGTGGTGGCAAGGGTGCCGAGGAATAGGACGATGCCTGCCCACTCTCCCGGTGAGTGAAGAAGAGTCAGCTGGCTGCATTTGCTTGTGCATAACCAAATGGCTTGTGTTGCTAGAGGAAAAGTTATGCTGGGGGGATAGAAAACACAGTCATACACGGGAAAGAAAATTGCTATGTGTCTAAATCTGGGGAGGGAGGACAGGAGGAGTCTTTCACCTCCTAAATAGTCTTCGTTAGTGTTTTTTCCCCCCTGAACTTGGGGGGCTAATGCTGAGCAACCCCAAACAGGAGAGAAGAACAGAGGTACCCTGGACCTTTCATGAAAAAGAGTTTAGAAGGCCAGTGGCCATGAAAATCAGATGTCTCTAGGCCAGCTCCAAAAAATGATTCCTTCCCCTTTCAAATTGACTCCTAACTGAGTGGTGATGAGCGGGCTACGTGGGCATGGGTAGCCTGACAATAAGCAACTCAAGCTGGGAATTGTGTTCCCAGTTTTGTTAAGATTTTCTTCGTTTTAAATTCCCTGTCTCCTGAAACAGCCAAGTACAATTTAAATAAATGAGTTTAATCTTACTGACATAGACTCCAAGGGACTGTGTAAAATCATTTGGTGTGCTGGCATTTCACTCATTAGCATATTTTTAAAAAGTAGTTCAGTGAAAATGAATTAGTCAACTGAGCGTATGTATCAATTGAATATAGGTAGTTCTCAGAATATTGGTCTGATTCTAAGCAATAGGAAATGAGGTGACATATAATAGAATGAGGGGCTTCATTCTGTTGTTATAATCTAGAAAACTATTCAGCATCTGTTGTTGCTGAACTTTACCAGGCATTTGGTTACCTCTGCAGCTTCACAAAAAACACATAACATAGGAACTTTGATCTTTCTGGCTGATTCCTAGTCCATGGCTCTCAAAGCTAATTTAAAGTCGAATTTTAATCCCTAAATGACAAGTTTTCCCCACTGTGTGCTCTAGGTAAGATCCAACGGTAGCATTGTTTTTCCTTTTTTATTTTTTTAAAGAAAACTACTTCAATAAAAAGCTATTCATTTCTGACTAGATATGACTAGAACATGAATTTCCTCAAGCTTAAACAATGGTAAATGACCCAGATGATTGGTATTAAGGATGCTGTTTATATTGATTTTAGACATTTTCTTAAGCCAAAATACTCTAAAAGAGAGCAGGTGCACACCCAAGCAAAAGTAGGCTACCATTCATATGCCTAGGAAGAGAACCTTTCAAACAAAAGGGCTGGGCAGAAAAATGCTTGAAAGGAAGAACAAGAAGGAGGATTATTTCCCGCTAAGTTAGATTACTAGTCCCAGGAAAGTGGGCTCTGCAGTGGTGGGTCCCACATGAGACATTTGAAGTGAACTCTATGTAACCTCAAAAATAGTTTTAAAAGAGTTCATAAGAATAGGACCAGGAGGAAAAGAATAGTAGAGAACTGGGGTTATTCAGGGAAGAAGAACTTCCTTTATTTATAACTCCTTAGTTTTGGAACCACTTAATCACTACAGAGATTAAATATGCAAAATCGGGTGGTAGGAGTCAGTCGGGGGAGAGTATGTTCCTTAACCATCTTTAAGTTTCAAATGATTTCCCTTCTCTTAGGTGTACCAGGCATTATTATGTCTGATTTTAATCTGCATAACAAACACAAGAGAACAGATTTTATCATTTGTTTCCTCAGAGGGGGTTGGAAATGTTATAATCAGCAGTCCAGTGCACCTGCTATTAATTTAAGTGTCAGTAGCAGCAGAGGACGGAAGCTAAAGAAGCCACCTATGTGCCCTATTCCTCCGCTTCCTCTCACTGTTGGGGAGTGAGGCTGGAGGCACGACCTGATTGGATTGTTCAACTCAGTGGGACAAAGAATGTGGCCTCAGTAGACTTGCAAGGTGGCAAGGGGAACCTTCAAGGACATAGAAAGAAATGACAGCAACAAAGGAAAGGAGAAAGTATTTCAAATTACATTCATAATGATCTTTGTAGCAATCAACAGATATTGTACATTTCTCTACAAAGCATGGTTTACATGTAACTCATACACGTAATTGTTATGGTGAGATGCTTTTCCCTCTCATTTCTAAAATGTACAGCATAAAAGTTCTCCTGGAGATGCTGTAAGTCAATGTCCCAAACTACTATTCTCCTTTTTGACTTCACATATGATAAACCTTCAGTGGCTTTTACTCAAGGGATTACATAGAATCAACTTAAATGAAGCAGTTATTAATCTTTAGACATGAAAAAATCTGACCTTGTATTGATAAGGAGATATTAAAATCTCTCAGGCCCTCTGATAGGATAAGGATTCTACATAAAAACAGGTTTGGAAAATTCCCATTTGACTGCTTTTTCCAGGAGAGTAGATAACTTCTGCTCTCTTTTTCTTTGCTAATCTGTTATTCTTTACCCAAGCAATCTTTAAAAAAAAGTGCAGACTCCTGGGGGAAATGCCCAATTCTCAAACAGATGACCGTGGCCTGTACATGTCAAATTAATTGTGCCAAATTAATCAGCTTTCTCACTTAAGTTAAAGAATCGCTAAACACTAAAACTATGTGACTTATATTTATTTTGTTTTTCATTTTTAAAATAGCCAGAAAAATGAGAAAATTGGTTCATAAAATTGAATTTGATTATATCTTTATGGAAAAATCTCTGCTATAGGCTGTCTCTCAAAGAAGGGTTTTATAAGAGACACGTTTCAGTAATGTAAGAATGTGATGTGTCTGCATCTTCTGTGACATATGCAATATGGCATTTAACTTGCTGGGTGAGCATGTTTAACTCAGCCGTGGAGAAACTCAGGAGTTCCCTACTCTTGGGTGTCTTTAAGTTTCAAAAATCATGCTTGAAATGTTCTTAAGGGCCACTCCTTGGGGGACATTGATTGTTATCTTTGGTAAATCAGAGATGACACCTGGAAGCATAGGGAGATGGTTCTTGGTTAAGTCTTGTTGCTGGTCAAGAAGAGCGAGTGTGTTTCATAATCACTTGACAGCATCTTAGGATAGGAAAAAATAACGAAAGGGCAAATTCTCATTTGGCAGCAAATTTTTGAATATTGAATGACATCTATGTAGTTGTAAACGACTTTTGTTTTAATAACAAAGTTGTTGATTTTCTACTAAGGGCTCTTTTAGGTTGTCATCAGGGGCTGATGGGAGTAACAGTTCCCCCACCTCTCCAGCTAGCTTCAGTGGACACACCACACCTGCTCAGCAGCCTGAACCTGTGGTACATTCTCTGAAGGTAACCGACCGTGTCCAGCCATTTATCCAGAGCTTCAGTTGTGTTGTGGCTTGTTCGCTGTAGTCTGGTAGTCCTCACAGTCTTGCTTTTAACCATAGAATACTTTATTTTTTGACCTTTTATGGTGTAACTTTTTTTAATCTTAATTTTTGAGATGTGATTTTAATTTTTCTAAACTTAACGATGAGTTCGAGTGCTTCTGATAATTGAATCTCCAATTGTGTCTTTTTGTTTTGAGTAATGTGATTCATATCTATCTGCATTGAAGCTGAAGTTTGTGCATGTACATCCACGTGTGCAAAATACTGTGGTGGGTATTTTATGTGCAATGTTTGTAGCATGGATGTCTTAAAATGCAGTGAGGTAGTAGGTGATCAAAACATAGAATACCACATTTTTTATCTTTATGCAATTGAAAGACATTATGCAACTCACTAGAGGAAAGTATCGAAAAAAATAAAAATAAATACTCTTTGCTTTGCTAGGTAGAAATTAGATCCTTAAACTCCAGTTGACACTTCTTTATAGAACAGGAGAAAATAGATATATAAGGGCTATCTGGAAAGTATCTGGCTATGTAATATGAAAAATAGTATTAACAAGAGCTAGATACTTTCTGGAAATACCTTATATGATCTTGTACATAAAGCTAATTTATTCTGAGGTTTTGTTTCAGATTTTCCAACAACTTTACAGAATCCATCATCTACCTATTCTCTTTTTCTTTTCTTTTCTTTTCTTTCTCTTTCTCTCTTTTTTTTTTTTTTGGTAGAGACAGAGTCACACTTTATCGCCCTCGGTAGAGCACCATGGTACTCACAGCAATTTCCAACTCCTGGGCTTAGGAGATTCTCTTGTCTCAGCTTCCCGAGTATCTGGGACGACAGGTGCCTGCCACAATGCCCAGCTATATTTTTGTTGTAATTTGCCCGGGGCCAGGATTGAACCTGCCACCCTCAGTAAACGGGGCCGGCGCCCTACCCACTGAGCCACAGGCGCCACCCACCTATTCTCTTTTTTAATCGTGAACTTTCCAATAAGTAACATTTTAAAAGAAACACTATAATTAAATTAATAATAAATGAATTACACAAATACTTACATTTCTAATAGAAGAATCTAACGCTGGAAATAAAATCATATTAAAAATTAAGGCAGTTCCTTGAAATTTATCAATTCTAGGGTACAAAACACTGTGCCCCAAATTGATCTATAATTTCTAACATAAGAACCTTGACAAAGGCTTTATGAGTCATGAAGTAGATAGGAGACTTTAGTTTTGCTTTTGCTACATAAATTGCACAACTTCTCTTATGATTGTTCCCATTTTAAAATGATTGTCAGACTGAGGATGCATTCTTTTGGAGTAGGCCGCACTTCTGTGGCACACACAAAGCAAATGAGTAAATGAGAACTTCAACATATGTATTTGATTTTGCGATGATTTCGTTTTAGTATATTTTATTCTTTCAGTATATTTTGCTTTAGTTTATATAAAACGAGTTTGCTTTTCCCAGTCATTGATGAGAGAAGGCAGGAGAAGCATGGTATGGTCCATGGCGATGCACTTGGCAGTTCCTCTCTTGGCTGGGGTAACACACAAAGTGAGCAACTGAGAGGCATTCCTGGGAAGGCACCACCAGCAGGAGGGGCACTGCCCTGCATCTAATGGTTGTGGGTTTATCCACAAACCAAACAACACGTTTCTGCAGTAGCCTTTGGATGCACTGGAACATGAAACAGACACTAGCTATCTGAAAAACATTTCAGAGGTAGAAAATGGACCAAAGATTGACTTCAATCTTCTAGAATTACAGTGTCTGCACAAGCTCCAAAAACACCACCTTGCCCTACTATTTAAACTATTTGAAAGCCATTGCGGCTTGTTGCCTTATTCAATGGCAAGTTGCACTTTGAATTGGATCAGCATAAAGGGTCACATGGAAATCTCTTTGAAATCTCTCGGTGCAGCTGTTCCTGTGGCCTAAAAGGAAGAGGAGGGCAAGGCTGAGTTCCTCAACGTTCTTTGAATTTATTCTCTAATTTTCATATAAAATTTTATCTTGAGAGAGGGAGGTATTAGTTGTACTCAGTACACACAAGCATCCTTGGTTGGCAGATGACTGATACAGAGCAATTGAAGTTCTTTATTGGGTAACTGGGGGCCCTTGAATGTAAAATGTTGTTGATTCCATGAGTTAGCTGTGTTGTGAAACAGAATTACATGCAAACATAGTCTTTGGGAAATGCATCTGAAGATCTCAATGTCATAAAAAACAAAATTGTAGCCACTTGGCACGTTTTATTTCTGAAAGGCATCTATCTATAGCTGATTTATATCATGAGATTTGTTTATTCTGAAAGATGTAATTGGAACAATGGCCCAGTTTCTCACTTTCTGATGGATTTCAAAGAAACTCTAGGCTTTCATGAATTCTGTGGTCATGATTTGTGCAGGAAATGAGCCCATTTGTAATGACTTCATACTTCTCTTGCTTTAAAATTTATGATAACTATTAATTGGAGCTCTACTTCATTTAGTAAAAATTACTGATTTGAAGTACACTTCTGAGGTGCATTACAAATCAAATTTGCAGGCAAATGAGCTTGTTCAAGGAGCTCCTTAATTTTTCTATGAGTATTCCCTGAGCACAGTGATTTCCTCTAAATATGTAAAGAATGTGAATGGACTCTAATCCAAGGTGAGTATCATGCCTTTAGAGAGGAGGTATCTATATAATAATAATGGCTATAAATTTTAAATTAGTAAGAGTAACTTGTGAATTCCATTATTTGTTACAGGATTGAACTCCAATTGGTCTCAGATAGTTATCTATGAACTTGACACAAAGGTCTCACTTTATGCTTACATAATTTAATTTGATTCATTGGAACAAATTCTCAGGTGACACCTTCAGGTGTGGCCACCAGCGTGGACCACGAATTTAGAAATGTCATAGTTTAGAATGGATCCTATAGGAGCTTTTAGGAAAAGCATTAGTTGCTAATACTACATTAATGCCTTGGTGTATAAGCTGATACCAAGAAAAGTAACAAACAGTACTCAATCGAGTTAAGGTTTTGTCCCCTTTTGTACTATAGAAAGTATCCATGTGAAATCTTATGCATTTTAAAAGGTATATTGTTTTCAATACATTTAGGGATGGATAATTTAGAGAAGTGGAAGCATGGGCTTCTAAAACGGTTTAAAAATGTTTTATCCCTAGACAGTTTGGTCTGATGAAAAATATTTAACATGTTGCTCAAATATTTTTATAAGGAACAAGTGTTTCTCTTTGCCACCATCAAAGAGCCATCGCTGCATTCCTTTCTCAAGTGCTAGGAACACGTCCATGTGAGAATTGCGAGGTCAGTAGATGTGTATCTTCCTGGGTTCAGACCAGTTTCACCTGTCAACTATGATCTTTTTTAGCCATCTCTTCTGTAGGCCATGTCTACATATCATTTGGACTGCTTGGCATATAATTAATTATGTTGTCCATCATTACAACAGAACAAACAAAAGTTATCGACTATTTCCAAATGGTTGACATAGTCAGGTTATCTTAATTACTAAAGTAAATGCATCTAATTATTTTAGACATCGATGAACTCAATTGACTATTAGTGATAAATGGATTGCGTTTAGTAGCCATTTGAAAATGAAATAGAATTCATTCCAAGTAGGTTTCAGAATTTTAAAAAGATTTTGCTATATCCTAATCCACTCTGATATGCAGACACGGAGAAAACTAAAGGTTTTGCAAAGTGGAGCTCCTTGCCTTGATGGTTTTATCGTAACTAACAAGTTTTTTTCCATGTGAAATTTGCTTTTCTTTTTCAACAAATCCAGGTCTTGGATGTTCAGGAAACTATAGATCGTCCACAGGGTAAAGAGTATGAACATGACCTTAGTGAGACAGAAAAAGCTATAGTCAGAGAAATGTGCAATGTAAGTTTAATGTGCTTTATTGTGTATTTTGTGTTGAAAGCCACGTTGTAGCTTAGTTATTGCTTTATGAATACTTTTTAAAATGCTGAGCAAATGCCTTTATATGAAAATAGAAGCAATTTCTTTTGGTCTTTTTCTTTAGTATGGTTTATTGGAGTTTTAATAACCACGTTGCATAATATTCAGGTCAGAGATGGTCAGCCAATTCCATAGTCCAGAAGAATCTTTGAACATTTCTAAATAATAAGTTGGTTGTCCAAAATGCTGTTACAAATTTTGATAAAATAATTGGGTTTCTGTTTAATACTTTTAAGAAGTTCTTTAAAGATCAGGGTTTCAAAACCTGAGTGAAAAAGAAAATATACAGCCTTCTTCAGATTTATTTGTCACTATTCTTGGGGGAAAAAAATCACTGTCTTCCTAGATCATGTTTGCTTAGTTCTTTATAAGTATGATATGTGTGTTTCATGTCACGAAGAATATTTTTAACTTTTAGTGGTTGACATAAACTTAGAAAAAAGTAAGGTGAGCTAGATAGATATGAACTTCAGAGGCAGACACAGAGAAGTCGATCTGTGATGTCAGAGAAGAGCACAGTAAAAAAAGGGAAAGAAAAGGTATTTTCATGATGAAAATCTGACGTAATCATTCACACAGTTTGGATTTGATGATTAATCCTTGTAATTTTTTGAGTAATATGCATGGGGTGTGTCATTTAACCAAGAATATAATTTGTGAAGTTCTAAATAGATAAATGGAATTTTGGAGAAGAAGCCATTTCTTAGATGCAAGAAATCATGATTAAGCCCTGATCATGTTAAGCACTGGTTTTAATTGGCTTTATATTCTACTTTTATCTTCATATCCTCAGATATTTTCTCCAGTAGGATATGAAAATTGCTTACGAATGTTCTTTGGCATTAGGCCTGTTAGGTAGGACCAGAGAGTCTCACGCATGTATCTACCTGCCTCTTTGAGATGTTTCTGGAAGTAGTAAATGTTCCATCGTGCATCCCAGGGACATTTTATATGAACTGGGATGAAAGTTGTAGCTTCCTGCTTGCCTGTGTTGTGACTGCTTTTTCCTTTGTGATCCTTTTCAAGTTACTTGTTTTTCTTTTCTGCATATCCGTTGTCTGTTTCCAGAAGGTCACTAGTTCTAGAAATCACATTTTCTAAATGTGCCACTATTCACCTTCTATAGCTTTTCAACCTCTGGGCGGGGTTTATGGTTTAAAAATTTGCCTAGGAATGCCCGTGCCTCTCATCTGTCAACCCTGAGAAGGAAAGTCCAGACATGGGAATTGTAGAACTGGAAGGACCCGCAGAGGTCGCTCTGCAGTGGTTTTTCCACTGGAGTCCTATGTGGAGCTCCTTCGTAATTCAGAGGTCTGAGTTTAACATCAGGCAATTTGGGTATGAACATGTAACACTTTATGTTTCAAGAAACAAAGATCCAGACATTAAGTACTTACTCAAACAGTTTTCTCATGAACAGTAAAATCAAGAGTCTATCCAGATCTTTAAGGACCAACTATTTCCACGTTCTCAAGTGAGGTAAATCTGGGGGCTTCCCTTTGCTTTCCCGAAGAATGGAAAACACGGTACCTTACAGATGGAACCATCTCCACTGTGCTTAATGCCAGAATTTCTGTACAGAAATGCCAGGGTTGTTTTCTTTTTCATTTTTTTCCTTTCCTTTCCTTCTTTTTCCCCCTTCTCTCTTCCCTTTTCCCTCCCTGCCTGCTTCCTTTCCTTCCCTTCCCTTCCTTCCCCTCCCCTCCCTGTCTCTTCCCTCTCCTTCCCTTCCCTTCCTTCCCCTCCCCTCCCT